GAAAATCAAACGGTTTGTAGACGCCGCTTCTTTGTCTCTTTAAAGCTTTATAAACTGTCAGACATACATTAGAAGATAAAACAGAGAATGCTTGCTGGGAAAATGTGGTTGAGAACGAAGTTTCCGGCAGAGGTAATCACTGGACTAAAAGTGCCTTTGTATGAAAGCAGATGAGACAAACGCAGCTCTAGTCCTCCCCACTCACATTTCTTTCAGAATAGGATACAAATATACAGGAACTTTCCAAGATCGCTCCTTGAGAGAGAACTAAGCAGTACGTAATAGCTAAGAGAGGGAGAGCTTGCTCTTTCTGGTTTAGGAAACACTTTTTTTTAGATGATGACTTTAAGATAAGCTTGCTGCAAATGTGAGAAACACCATGAAGTGTCAGGTTTGTGAAATGAGAAGTTTTGTTAGCTAATCCAGACTCCATGAATTCCATCGCTAGTATGGGAGTAATAGATGGGTTACTTTTAAGTTTCAGAATGTCTCTTTTCCCTACCTTCAAAGCAGCTGCCATCCTGCCTGGCCTAGCTGTCTGCACAGCTGTTCTGGGGCCTCCAGCATACACAAGTGAGTTCTCCAGGGTATTGCAGCCTATTCAGCTAAGCCACTCCAATTTTAAATGGAAAAACATCCAATACATTAAAATGCAGAGTTGCTGTTGCAGCCAGACAGCAAAACACCTGTAGCTATATAAGATATGCATTACGAATGCATGCTTTACCTAGTAATTATATATACACCATCTTATAAAATGGAGATGCTATCCCATGCAGAGCACAAATCTGAAAGGCTGAATGAATCTATCTGCAAAGGGCAGATGACACAGGCAGAAAGGCAAAAAACACACAACCAGAGCAAACCGTGACCACTTGCCCAATCTCTCACAGCATCCCTGCAGCACCCAGAGCTAGCATCAAGATTCAGCTGGACAATGGTTTGGAAATACAGCCACTGCTAGGTGTATGACCACCTGCAGCCTCACCTTGCACTGTAAGGGACAAATTATTAGCACACAGCTACAGACCTGCAGCCCATATCTTCTGTTTGTTCTCAGACAAAGGACAGCTAACGCAAAGAGACACGCTCATTGTTCCAACTCCACTTGGGAGTGCACAGCACTTTCTTCTAGACTAACAGCAAGAGTAGCGAGAATGGAGATCTGTGCTTTCAAACAGGAAATAATCTGTACAGGACTTTCAAGTGGACGAGTTGTCAGAACATCAGAACGGACTGATTTTTTTTTTTTTTTTAAATCATAATTGGAGTAACACAGCCTTAAATTAACACTATGCTGCAGTGAAGAGCCACTCAAGTAATTTTCCCCTACACAGAATACCATAATTCATTCTAGATCAAATTCAGTTCAAATGCTTTGTCTATAGCAGATGGGGGATTATTTTTTTCCCAGTTATTTTCTGTATTGTTTGGTTTTGGAAACAACTCTGCCAAGCTTTGCTAGTTGGCATGATCCAATTCAGATGCCAGGTACTCTCCAAACTGCTTCTGTAAGCAGGTGGGCAGCAGGCTTAGCACTGCTTGTTTTTCACTAAGACACTTAGAGGAACATTTTCACTCATTATCATGACAGAAAAGGTTTTCTGATGGCTACCAGCAATATAGAAACACAGTTGTTGCCACTTACTTGTAATACATAACTGCTTTTAGTCAACCACACTGTTTGTAGCAGCCATCCTATCCTCAGAAAAAGCCTTGTTTAGATTTTCTTCCAACAACAGGCCACGCTGTTCTCTGCTACTGCAGTGGGGTGGGAGAGAAGTCATCAGTACTGGATTTGGTGTGTAATAAACACATAGTTTCAGTGCAATTAAAGACAATTTCTTATTTTTTCTTAATACCTCAATTGCTTATGCTTCATAAGAGGCAAAACAACTCCTTGATTTCCTGAAGCAGACGGAATCACTAGAAGATCTGCCCTTTTAGAACACAGTAATAATGCTTGCCTTAAAACATTATCACGTCTAGAAAGATTAAATTGGTACTTAAAGCAATAACACAATTTGCTCTTTAAATCTTTGTATTTAAAGAGTCATCTGCCACTGTAATTTGCTATGCAGTATCTAGAACTACAGTCACCTTGAAAATTGCTGAGGGCCACAGCTGAGTGTTGGCTCATTGTTACCCTGGCATACTCGAAGAAACTAGAAGTACTGGGAGAAATGGCAGCGTTACACAGAGTGCTATGGTAAAACAGAGGCACGTGTGAATTTCCTGCCTATATAGAGAACAGCTCACAACTACAAATCTGTCTGTGCATTTGTTTTCCGGGAGGACATGAAGTTGTTCTTCTAGTTCAGCATCCCACTTTCTAGCTGGGACCATACTGCTGTTCCACACTTTCCCTCATTTTTCCCTAAACAACTGCTCCTGATCACTGTCTGAAACAAGACATGAAGCAAGCCATTGGTTTGTCCTGATATGAACAATATGTTGTTGGTTGTTTTTTTGTTTTTGTTTTTTAAAAGGATTAAACCTTTAAAGTTTAAAGTTTAATTAAAGTTGATTTTGCGCTGTTTTACCCAGGATAGTGAAAACATTTTCCTAAAATAGTTTCATTACCCTTATTTTAGTTTTCGGGTTTAAGCAGATCTCTTCTCCAACCTTAACAATCTTCATTTTTGCCTTGTTTCTCAATGTGTACCATTTCCACCTCTATCTCCATTTCTTCATTCTGTCCTTCCAGGATTTTCCAGACTTTTAAGTAACTGTGCACCATGCTGAGCTGAGATCAGTACTCCAGGAAATGCATTCATTACAACAGCATAACAGCATCTGCATTGTTTAAATATCATCATATAAACCCATCATATATTTTTTTTTTCCCCACAAGCCCTGCATGTTTCTGAGCTGATTCTCTGCCCTGCAGGTCTCAGGATCTGGAAACTACTGGCAACTTCCCAGAAACATACTTCAGAATTTTAACTGCATCATCACTTTATACTGGAATTAATCCCAGCAGTAGAAGTGAACCGTGAGTTCCAGCTGCTTCACTGGCTGTCCTGGCACAGTGTGCTAAAGCTTCTGTTCTCACTGAGGGCCCCAGGATAACGGCAGACAAGCCTTTTCTCCAATTTACAAGAGGAAAAAGATAATAACACTGAAAATCTGAATAGGAAGACCGATACACTTAAGCTTCTCTTTTAACGATGAGTAGCTTTCAGTTCTTTGCAGTTTATGAACGGATTGTAATAGTTTGTGACATGCCATCTGCTTCCATAGTCTTGTCAGCAAGACCCAGGGACATGCAGTAGTCATTCCAATACTGACAGGATCACCTGGTTTTATTAGGAATGGAAACACAGCATTGGTAGGAAATCAAATGCATATGGGAAGAATTGTCAACATTGAAAAAAGTGCAGTCCTTATGATAATGCTACTAATTTCAAGAGTAATAACTGTTTCTATTAAGTCTATAAAAAGGCATATGTATGAAAAGAAAATATGGTACAATACACAGCCTCCCAGACTTGGACAGCATGACCATGGTTACATAAAACTACCTGGACCAGGAAAAGAGGACCAGATGGCATGCTGAGTCAGATCCGTTTTCCATTGGCAACTTGACAAGTAGACACATTACCTGAAATTCATCTAGCAGCCTGAAGAGCCAAATTTAAAAAAAAAAAAATCATAAAAAAAAATAAATCAGCACACTTCATGTGCAGTAACCCACCCAGGATCCTTGCTTGGCCATGCACCACAGGAGCAGCATGCATGGGATGCAACGCACTGCTGGCACCCAGGAATTCCTGCCTCCACACACTACATTGAAGGAGCCAGAACTGGGAGCTGGGACAGATCTGTGAGAGCAAGGAAGTGATCTGATTCTCTACATCTTTATGAAGTAATGATGAAGTGGGCTATAAAGATGCACAGACCAATCCAGTGCAATCTGTGTCACCAGGACTCCTTTTGCATCTTCTTAACTTTCATTTACCAGCAGGCTTTTGGTGGCTAGACCTTTTTTTTGGCCAATAGCATGCGTCAGTTCTGAAGGAAAAGTCAGCATTTCAGCCAGCTAAGGGGGCGACAGAGGACAACCCAGCAGGCATGGCTTCCAGTCACTTGCATGGAAGTGAAAAGCCTCCTGCATATGCGGTCACATACTGTCTGACAGGAAGTATTTGGAAAACAAGGGCCCCACAAATATAAGCTCTCAATGGCAAAAAAGATAAATGAGGGCTGCCGCAGAAAATAAACAGATGTGCTGAGAGGTAAGAGCCATTCACAGGGAGATTTAAGGAGCTTGATAGAGATGAGAGTTCATTCCTCCCATCTCTGGGAGGCACAGTCTAACACGCAGACAAGGTCCATGTTCACTTTCACAAAACAAACTTGCTCCCCTTTAACCAAAGTCAAAACCAACAGTTTTCATTTCAAATTGCACTTGTGAAACCCAGACTACCTTCCAAGAAGTTAATCAAAGGCTAACTATTTTGTTTTCCATTAGGAGACAAAGCCACAAGGCCTGTGACAACTTAAATCCCTCAGGATACCTTACACCCATTGCTGAGTTCTTGACAGCATGAAAGAAAACCACCTCAGGGTTCTTTGAAAAATAAAACTTCCTCTCAGAATGAGGAAGCATATCTTGCTCATCCCACTTTTCATTTTTGTGAAACAGAGGCCAAACCACACACCATCTTTCCACAAAACTTGCTGGCAGCCAGAATAAATGCCTAGAAAGGCAGGAAAGTGTAACAGGAAGAATAACTTGCTAAGAAAGAAAGCATCTAGAAATCACCAGTATCACAGTAATTGGATACAGTCACCTCAGAGCAGAGCACCATTTTCTAACTCTGGTCTGGAAACCGTTATATCCAAGAATCTTGTTATCATGATTTCTGACAAGCACAAGAAGAGAGGTCATACTGACCCAAGAGAACTTACTTCCACTGCAGGTGACGTTGTTTAATTGTGTACCTCAGATATGATTATAAATAGAATAGAAATCTTATTTGGTTTTTTTTAAAAAAAAATCCAAGCTGAAACAAATCTTCTTGTCTGCAACTCTGGTTTGGTCAGTACTGGCAAGGTGAAGTGGAACATGTGGCATGAGGAGGCTGCAGCACTGAAACTGAGACCTGATGGTTCAGGTCAGAAAAGTGCAAACAAAAAACGTGAAACCACAGAGAGGGTGATAGGTCCAGCCTTGCTACTCCCTCCATTTCTAGCTTGCTGCTATATTTCTCCATCCTCATCCGAGCTCCCACTGCTGCTTCCACTGCTGCTCCCCCCACTCTCACTGCTCTCTTCCTGCTGGGCCTGGCTGTGGGCCGCTGCTGCTGCCGCCTCTGCTGCTGCTGCCGCCGCCTCTCTCTCTTGCTGCTTCAGTGCAGCTGCCTTCTTCTCCTGCTCCGCATGGCTCTTCATGTGAGCACTACGGCTCTTCACCTTGTAGAACACCCTGAGGAAATATAGGTGCATTAGCATAGGTCTCACTTATAGCTTTCTCCCCCATTAATTCACTGAAAGAGCTTTCCATAGCTATATCCTCTATAGCTATATAAGTTTGTGAGCTTCAGCGTGTTGGCACTGCACAAAACATCTACAGCAAACACCACTTCTGCCTCAGCATGTGCCAATGCACTGGTTGAAGTATTAGCAGAAGATCCTGAGCATCCTTGAGTTACTTGCTTTGTTTCTTAATATATTTTCTAAATTCAGAGAGGCAACACCGGCATCTGAAATGTGTGGCTGCTTAACAACAGGGCCCCACTTTTTAGCCATTCCCCTACACCACAAAAATAAAATAAACATGGAAGTGAATGGTCAGTTGCCATTCCAGACACTTATCCACACAGTTGGAAACATTTGAGCTTTTTCCTCCCAGTTCTGCGCTACCATGATCTATCCCTCTATTGCTCACCATTAACTATTTTGAATTGGCATCAAATGTCACAAGACAGGTTTATGAATCCTTGCCTGCTCCTTCTCTGTCAGCAGCCAGGGTCAAGTCTTACCCATCTGCCTTCTAACAGCTCTAACCTTTCCAGTACAACGTGCTCTCTGAGGACACAGGGACAATATACCTTTGCAGGATCAGCTAAGTCCCAGACATAGCAACAATTTGTTAACAGCCCTTGTGATACAACTAGATGAAGATCTCATTTTCTTGCCATCCAAATACTACACACCACTGAAATGCAGGCAGTGTCTCATGCCCTTTGAAGAACAGTCAGAAGGTAATTAGCCAAGTAGAAGCATCTTAATATCAATATACCTCTGATATGAAAGACATCTCAAAGCCATAAGTTGTTAAAAACAAACAAACAAAAAAACACTGCAAAAACCCCTAATCTGCAAGGTTAAGTAGGGTAATACTTCATTAAAATTATTGCCAGTTTCTCCAGCTTGCCCTACTGTAATTTCATGACTACTGCTGGAAGTTAAGTTGCTCTTACCTGCCACACTTTTTACATGGAAATGTGTTTTCTGTGTTCTGGATTTTACTGGCAACGTCTGATTTTATCTTCTGTTTTCGCCGCCTCCTCTGCACTGGAGCAGGAATAAGCTTTCGAGGTTTCATGGTCGTCTCCCTCGGCCTTCTTCCAATTCTGCCTGTAACAGTTGCCTCTCGACTTCTTATATTAGCATCATTGGCCTTTGGAGAGAGAGAAACGTAAGGCAAACAAACTGAAGCCCGCTTCTCACTGTGATCCTATGTATACATCAACTACAAATAAGTTGGGTTTCCTTGCCTTACTCATCTCAGTTCTTCCAGAACAGCACACAGTCTTGTTACCAGCAACACTCTAAGCTACCTCAGCCCAGCCCTTGTTCTGGAAGAAGGCAGAGACTTTTAAATCTTGAACTGTCGACCTCGTATTTTCTAAACTACTTGCAGAGTGAAGGTAGTATAAAAAGCACAGCATGCACAATGCAGCACTTACTATGAAATCATCTTGTAGTGTCTGTTCATCTTTGAGAAGGAGTGTACTCTTCTTTCTGTTATCCAACCCTTCCTCTGCCTCCTCTTCCTCCTCCTCTTCATCTTCCAAGTGCCCCTGTTCTTCACTGAAAAAGTCCCTTCTGAGAGGAAGAACACGTGCAAACCTGTGGGAACTCTTCACCAGAAGATAAAGGAACTGTTACCCTCAGCGTCTGCAAGTAAATGTCATTATGTGACACAGGACACAAGCTTGTAAGTCTGAACTCCGCACTGGCCAAACTGTTTTTGGATCTGATTCTACTACCAAACAAAACAGCACACAAAAACTAACTTAGCACCATAGCCCAAGAGAGATGAGAGAAATTTAAGAAATTACCTTGATGTCAACTTCAGCTTCATCTCGCACAGACTTCTCATTAGCAACATCTATGTCCCCAAAAATTAAGGTCCCATTCCGACCAATTTTCACTTGTTTCTTATATGTGTAGTAGAATTCCACACACTGAGCCACTGTCTTGGTTTTTATCTGGTGTTTGGAAAACATAAAAGTACAATAGATTACATGATTTTAAGAAGGCTTATAAACAATCACTAAGGGTGCAATAAATACACTTTGTGCTTTTCTTTCCCTAGCACTCTTAATCCCATTACAACTGCTGTTAAACCCTTATTTCCCATGTTCTCTTCTTCTATCCTAAAGCCCATTCCCTACCACCAATGTTATTCATTTTGAGGAATGCAAGACCAGCTTTCCAAAGAAAAGCTGGCCAATGTAAAGGTGACAGAACCTGGTGCTTTGTCTGCTTATTGCACTTCTTAGCCTCTGAAACATTCCAATTGAGCTGTCAGGCTTGAGCGCAGCTTTTCAGTTTTATGGGAGTTTTATTCTATGGCAGCACTTTGGAGAAGACCAGAGCAGAATACCGTTCCAAAAATGGAAAGGAAAGTTTGCAGCACTTTCCCATTTTGGCCATATGCATTTCATACACGTACAGCGATAGACAATTATCCGTACGGACCTATGACTATCTATATATTCTCTATCAGGGATTATTTTGAAAGTTTGAAAGTATATTCTTAATTTCTGGGCTTTTACAACTTAAATGCATTTTGGATGTTTTATTCAGAGAAAACAAACACAGCTCCTGATTCTATGCTTTAAGTCCTTCAAGTGCTTTCCTTCCACTGATGTGTCACACCTCATGGAAAACACACACGAGCGATCATTTTAAATATCAATGTAACAGCAAACAGCACAAAAGGATGCATCATTCACCTATCCTTCTTTGGTCCTTTTCATCATCAACAAGGATGTGTTTCTATTTAGTTTTATAAGCAAGCCCTTTAAGCTGTACTGGAACATTACCAGCACTCTATAAATATGCCCTGTGGAAGCGATATCTGCACTATGTGGACTAATGGAAGCAATGCAGAAAGTACAAGGATTGAGTAAACAACAACAGAAAAAAAACCAAAAACCTAACAAACCCAACACAACCGCTATTGTCCTAGCCATCTCTGATGAGATTGTGCTGTGCTGGATTATAACATTTCTACAAAATCTCCTGAGTGCTTAATACTGAGGTTTCAGAAAAATCAGGATTTAATCTCCTGTATTAAATGTTCAAACGTTAGAAGATATCATTGCCATAAAAAACAGCAACAGTAAAACACTCACCAGCTTTTGGACTAAGAAAAAGTCCTTCTTGTAGATTGCAATGCCTTTGTTGAAAAGCTTCTTTTCAGCAACTTTCCAACTGTCTGATCCTGTAGATAAAAAGTTGCAACTAAGTCCTTGCAACATCAAATGTTAACTCTATGTACTCTTTCTTAAATTTCCCTTTAAATAAACGGAATGCACACATAGTATGGTACAGTCTCACTTTGCACCTAATCCTACATAACTGCAGGCTGCTGTTAACCCTTCTCTTACAGTTTCACTTCGGCCCTGCTCTCATCACTTCATTCTAGATCTAGTTCTCATCCCTCCAGGTTAACTCAGTTCAGCTTGCTAAAACCAGCTAGTTAGAAGAAGTTACAATATTTTCCAACAAAACAGCAAGCTTAACAGACACACGCTGTGGTGGTCCAGTCATTACATTCGATAAAAGGAAAATGGTAGGGGCAGGAAAACAGGAACTTCTCTTTCAGCGGAAATCCACAATACAAGATGAGATGTAACAGCAAACTGTACTCAAAAATTTATAACATCCCAAATACGTTAGTATTCTAGCGTACTTGCCTCCAATAATAAACATCCCAGAATCTCCTCCTCCCTTATAGATATACCAAAGCAACAGCATTACAGTAGCGGTGTGTAATAACGAATAAATGCAATTTCTGTACTTTGTGGCAGCAGGTATAAAAGTCTCTCTCTCACACTTTGCATCAGGCCTCTCAAGCAGCTAGGGTCCCCCTAGATCACTGAACTTAACAAGCGTCACACAACCTAACAATTCCTAATTAGGTGTGACACTAAAAAGACAGTTTATGGCATGTACATTTCACAGAAACAGTGACAAGCATCGACAGTTGGCTGAGCTCTTCACCTCCTAGGTTTCTTCAGCAAGATTGAGATCTCTTCCCTCACACTCCCTCTTAACTCCACCGTATGGAAATCCACACCAAAGAGGCTGTGACCCCAAGGTTGCCACAGTCTGTCCTTTATGAATTAATCATTTTTCTGCATTCTCCGTGGTTCAGTATAAGGGATCAGATTCCTTTTTCCTCAGTAAAGGAAACCAAAATACACACATATGCAAATTCACAGATGCACATATTCTGAGAGATGGAGTGTTTCTTACATTGTGTCATGATTTGCACATGTGCAATTCCTGGCAAGCCATCATCCAACTTACTAGGGAGAAGCATTGCCTTTAATTCTTATCATAATGTTACAGATTGTCCCAGAAAAATAGGAAAGTATAGAAGAATTCCCTTAAGACATACAGGCAGCACGGAGTTATTCTGGTTAGCAAACCTGTGTAGTGATAATCTGCCAGAGGATGAGTAGGTGATCGTACTGGCCCCTTCAATAGCAGCTTGGTCAGAGCTCCCTAAAATAAACAACACAAAAATTTAAAACAAAGATCACGTAATTGTCAATCCACTCTGTTCTGGTATGCTAATTGAAAAGAAGTTCTTCTCTTTTTCCTACATCACAGCTAATACCTGTGACATGAAATGGAACAACTTTAAAATCAATTCTTGACTGCCACAACAATCAGAAAGATCAGTGCAATGGAATGGTGATACAAAAGATGCAATGACAAAAGGACAAGCACGATAGAAAGGTGTTATGAAAGAAAAGGTGCTCACCCATCTCTGAAGATCTAGGCTCACCATAGAAACTCCATAAGAGGGATCTCCAACCAGGGATCCTTCCCCAGGGGCAGTCAGCCCTTAAATGGGGTCTATGAGAGGTGCAGCCAGGCTCCTCCCCTTCTGGTCACACACCTGAATTGCCTTCACCTGTGCTCCCAGGGCTGACCCATCCTTTCCCCAGGTGCTCAATCAGTGGTTCAGGCCATGACTCAACAGTTCCCATATAACTGTCCACTAAATTCTGGCTACCACTGACAAGTGGTAAGCCTCTCCACTTTCATTTAAGACAATGTTTAAAATTCATTAGGCAGTCTCATCTTACTCAGTCTACTAGATGACAGTCTGTTAAAAAGCCAAAAGTTTGAAGCTCAAAATATGAACAATAGGGAATGAACATGGTAGTGTACATCAGGAAGAACACTTTAGGGACAGCAGCATCTCCAAGAGACACGAAGCAATGTGAACTAGAAGCAAAGTACAGAGTATTCAAGAGGTTTCCATTTGTCAAATAACAGGTCACCTGGCCTTAGTTAAAATCTTTCACCACATCAAGGCAAAAAGGTGGGAAGACTCACCAGAATGCTTCCCTTTTCTTCATGTAAGAAATGCAGTGCCAGTTCCTGGTTGGTTCCACCTCCAGGAAAAATGCTTGAGCAGGCAGCAGCTAGCAGGCTTTCCACTATTCACAAAGATATACCAAACAAATTCAGATTAGAAGATTAAAATTGAGTTTCCTAAAGAATTCACACGAATTAGATCTTTTGAAGCATAATTAGACATAACAGAAGATAAAACCAAGATGATGAATGAGCTTGGAAATTTATTTGGGTCAGATTTGCACAAAGGAATTAATTAGACTGCAAGGTCACAGAGCAGAGTCCCACAAGCAGCACTATTTACACATGGAGGTTTTTTTGCAACTCATGTCTCCTGTAATGTCTTCCAATTTCCCTTCACCTCAGATTTTTTTAATCCCCCCTCTATTCTATGATCTATACAAAATTTTTATTTCATAATACCCTTTTTTCTCTTTATTAAGAAAAAAATTCTTCTAAGACCACCCACAATCCCTCTTCAGCATCTGTACATGCCACAACCTGTGTGCACCAAAAGCAGACAGCTACTCAGTCTGCTATCTAGCTGACACAGCTCCTGCTTCTTCCTGTCTAATGTCTACAACTTGATTTGCCCAAATACTATAATGTCTAGAGCATCTGTTTAAAAGTTGACTACGCTTAACAAGGAAGTTTCATTCATTCTCTTTGACAGGTAATAATGGTCTCATTTTATCTCATTAAATAAATAAATAAATAAATAAAATTCCTATCAACCTCCCAGCCCCTACATACAATCCAGAAAAATAAGTTTTACTCCTAAGATTGCTTTCAAGACCATTTAAGTATGTCATGATAACTGACAGCTCTATTTGAAGTTATGCCTACAGTAGACGTGGTTAACTCTAACACGGCTATGGCACTCAGCCCTATTACCAGCCTTCCACATTCTTACCATTCTGTTGGGTGACTCTGTTGGTTTCCAGGTCACCCCATGGCTGCCACACCAGCTCTGCTTTATGTTCATCAGCTGCTGCCAGAGATCTGTCTTGGAGTGAAGGGATTTCTGCTTGAAAGCGAGTTCCTACATTTATACGCCTGCAGAAAAGATAAGTCATGGTCAGGTAATTTCTACAATATCCAAACAGTCTCATCTCTTGTAAAAATGCCAGTTATGGGGAAACCAAAATGCAGCAGGTCCTGTCATATAGCAAGAACAGCCTTCAGGTATCGTACATTACAACTGAAAAGATCACTATCAGTTTCCATTGTCTTATCTATCAGCAGTAGTTGGAATTGTACTTAAAGTAGGATCTCCAAATAACTGCTCAGAAAACTTCCTTGGCAGTAGGTGATGGTGAGATAACATTCGGGTACAACTAATGTAATAAAGAAGCTTTATACAGAACATCATATACTGCCTGTCATTTTCCCCAAAACACAATCTCTAGTTCCAGTCAAAAGTAAAGTGCTAGGGATGTTGTCTAGTGGCAAGGCATGGGCTGGGGATAATAAAGGCAGCTGAAAATATCCCACCTGTAATGCCAGCAGTTTTAAGTATTTCAGGGTGCCTAAAAAACAGATTCAACAGAATAGATACTGCTTCTGAAAAGTAATTCAATTTCATATGTACTGAGGGTGGAAGCTGCATGGAGAATGAAGAACCCTAGGAAGAACTCAGTTTGGTTTTGAGTGTTTTACAGGTACAGAAACCTATTAAAACTATAGTTCTCCACTTATTCACCTTTCTTGAATATCTACCTTCACCTTTTTTGATTATTTTGTTGAAAAACATGATATTGACTGATTATAGTATTGGTCAGATGCAGCACAAGAGCAAAACAAAAAGCAAGAGATTTCATGCAAGATTGAGAAAACCTTGCTAAAGGAAAAAAAAGCAAAACAAAAAAACATTGATACATCCTGATTGCAGCACACTGTGATGGACTGCAAAATGATATTCGTGTGGAATATTCTGCTCACTGCAATTAGTCTCACCTATTGGTATAGCATGCAGTTTTACAGTGCAAGAAAGGGTATGGTTACTGACCCACCCTAGAAGGGATAACTACAAGCAACTGACTTTGCTGTCAAGTGGAAACACACGAAGTCTGTTAACACTTAGGGAAATTTGGGAGATTGTGTGTCCCCAGGCACAAATGAGGCTCTTCTGGCCTCATTTGTGAGAGGGAGAGTAGTGGCTGGAAGAACTGGAGGAAAAGAATGTGAGTTAGGAGGGGTATCTCAGAAATGACCTTTTATCCTAAAACCAAACATAGATTATTGTAGACTCTTACTGCATAGGGACACAAGTATTGCAAGTCCTGCAATATCCAAATAAAACCAGATTTCCACCACAAAAGCTGATCAGTTACTTAAATAATCTGATCCAGCGTGGCCTGTTCCAAGTAAGGGCTTGGACAAAGTGACCTCCCAAGATCCACTGCAGCTAAGTTACTCCATGACTCCTTTAACATGAAAGCCTAGATTTCAGTACAGCAAAAGCTACTGCCTGTAATCAATGCTGCTGGGACATCCTGTGGTACAATTACATGTGGCATCATTCAGAATTGAGGCTAGCTGAGGAGTGACTACAAGGAAGACTTGAAAGGAACTGAACTGCAAGACTCTTAAGACATTCAGATCTGTGACACCAGCTGCCTATTAATCTACTTCCCAAATAGAAGAATTAAGCTTCATTAGTACATTTCCTATTCCAAATCTCTGCAATCAAGTAACCTTTTAAGAAGCATTAGCAGAAGGTCTGACAAAGCAAGCAATTAAGAACACAATATGTGGCAATCATAAGTTACAATCAGCTTTTAACAGAATCAAGAATGCAAACCAATGGATCAAATTGTACTTTTTTTCCTTTTTCTTAAAAGCAAAAAATAATTTTTAAAAAGTTTTCTGCCATCCTTTCTTTATGGAAGATACATCCACGTAACAGACCACAACACTACTGCACAAATTAGCACTGAAGTAGTAGTAAACTAATTACTTTGACAACACAAAGTGACACTACTTTGTGATTTTAAAATCTGAAAAGTTTTCTAATTTGCCTAAACATCTATTCAAACTAAGTCTTAGGATAACAAGATAGCTCTTTGCACACTAATGCAAGTTCATTTTCTTTTGTCAAAAGGAAGTTAAAAGTCACCATGACTTGAATTTTATAGTAACAAATTTGAAAAATTTCATCCACAACTTAATCCGCAGCCAATATTATGTCATTAACTTCAGCAATTTAAACCATTGGAGGCAACAGCAAAACTGAGTAACCTCATGCAAAGATGATCAAGATCTGCTGAGAAAACAAAAATATCTGTTCAAGAAGAGGTTCACTTCAACCAACGACAAAACAATGAATTAAGCTACTGTCAAAACAGATTAAAAACAAACCAAAACTAAAGTTGTGCTTGTTTATTTCTATGAATTTGAACTGCTGTTGGTGCAATACAAGATACAGGAGCAAAGAAATAGTGATTAGCTGCTAGAGTTGTCCTGGAGCCAGAGTATGGGCCCAGAAGGAATTTGTGAAAGTGACAAGAATAACCTGAGTTTATTTGCAATTGCAATAGGTTTCAATCAGCTCAGGACAGCCAGCTGCCAAAAATGTACAAAACCTGAACTTCCAACAGACAGGAGAGAGAAAGGGGAAGAAGTCCTATAAGTCAACAGCAAATCTTTAAAACGTGGAGAATTTTGGAAGTAGAAGACAACATATTTATTTGGAGATGGTCTAAATTAAATTTCAAACATTAACAATATATGCTACAGTTAGAGCAGAGATTCCTGAGTGCAAGGAATCAGGACTGTAGAGCCACATGAATGATACATCACACGGCTATCACCATGCCATACATCTTTATGCTTAGATTTTGCAAAATTGGAACTACCTTGCTGCAGTTCTACAGGAATTTATAACATTCCTGGAATTTACAAGAGCTGTACAGAGACACTTGCAGCTTTGCTTTTCCTGACAGGTTTAGCAGGACTGGCACCAAGCCTAAAATCGTAACTCCAGTTTCTCTATTTCCAAATTGTGTTCCCTAGTGCCACTGGGTTCTAATGTCTGAGCCTTCCCAGCATACAAACAGCTAAAAAGATTAATTAAACTTATTAGTTCAGGTCACACTGCATGCAAATGGCTACCATGCTTTCAGACTGAGCTGGTCTAGAAGGAAAAAAAACATGTTCACATTTGTGCTGAAGCTAATACGTGCCACATGGATAACCTGAAATCTGAGCAGCCCATCTGAAAGCTAACTACATTTGTCCATATTCTTCTTTGTTCTTTCACTAAAAGAGTGTTATTTTCCCACTCTCAAACAATTATAGATCTTCCAAATACGTGTATATAATAAAACAAGAGAGACTCACCTAATTCATTCTGCTGACCAATACTAGAAAGTAGGTAAAATCACCAGAAATAAAAGGGCATTTGCCCAAATGTTATTTATTGCACAGAGTTGTTTTTTTAAAAGACGTTTATATTTTGAGCCACTAATAGGAATAGCTTTAATGTTTCTAAGAGGATATATCAACTATACGTGGAGCAGGTCAAAGGTTTAGGAGTGGGAAGAGAAGCAGGTTTACTACCAGACTAAGACTTTGCTGGGTACTTACGGTTCAATGCTGACTGGGGTGGCTTCTCCCACCACAGAAAGAACAGGAGGGGTAACCTCTGAACTGTCTGCAAGGCAAAGAAAGAGCTGCTCAGATTCATCACCTTCTCACAAGATATTTTCTTCACACAGATGATAAATCTGTCAGAACCATATTTCAAAACAGGTACCCATATGCTAAACAAGTTTAAGATGTCCAAGTAGAACTCAGCTTTTACATCTTACTAATAACTACTTACTGCCTACTCAGCCCTCGATAATGACAGGCTATTACAGAAAATAAACTGACTTTTCCATTCCTGAGAATGTCAGTAGGGGGTGTTGGAGATTACTTGTGAATGCATCTTTACATTTATGGACTGATGGAAGGAGCACTGCAATCCCTTCATCCTAGCAACCCAAGAAATTTCATTTTCACATACTCCAGAAGTCATGATTATCCTTCTATTGCTCCACAGTTCCTAAGCACAAATTAGCCAAAAAGGAAAGAGGGGAAAGAAAAAGTGGAACTTACTTGATCTAAGCAGAGTTCTGTGAGCACTTTTAGGAGTCATTGGAGGTGGAACCGGATGACCACTTGAAGAGAGGATAGCATTAAAATATAGCCCAGATCCTTCTCTCACTGGACTAAGAATTGGTGGAGGAGTGTAAGGAGGTAGTTCAAAGTTCCTATCAGAAGGATGGTCTGCCAGACGGACAGGTGACCGTAAGTGGCTCTGATACGGTGTAATATTAGAATAAACAGGTGGTGCAATAAAGGTGCCAGCTTTTGGTGGTATGAAGAGTGGCTCAGGTCTTGGGCGCTGCTTTGGTTTCCGGGCAAAGCCCTCTGCTTCATCCTTTGGAACAGCATGTTCATGCTATTTGAAAAAGGTTATATATTTAATTTCATTATAAGGCCTTAAATCACATGAAGAATTTCAGCAATATGACAACATTCTTCCATGGTAGCTCAAAATCTGATAGGGCACCTGTGGAGGGTGGGTCTATTAGGTAGCAACACTATCTCCAAGCATTTATGAAGCTATATTTTACAACAATCACAAATATGTCTGATTCAACCTTTGGAAAGATGATGACAATCTGATGGCAGCTAGTAAAGAGTGCATATAAGTGCAGCAGAACTGTGACACACATACAAAGTGATATTAGATAGAGATAAGAGAATAGCAGAAAATATCACAGTATTGTCTTAAACGGCTGTGTGTTTAACTGCACAGAAATCTCCTTAGATGCCTGCCATTTATCTTTGGTATCAGAATACTCTGTTATACTTCTCAAGAGGACAGATAAAAAAGTTTAAAAAACAAAAACCCACTGAATAGGAATATTAAAGTACTGATCTCCAAAACCTCAGAAAGAGATTTAAATTTCATAAGAATAAATCTTCAGTTTCCATTTTATTCACTCTTGGAGATATATACACACTACTCATTCATTACTATCTATGTACATATGGAGAAATAATTATTTTCTCAAGGAGATAAAATATTTCTTTTCAGTGTTATTGTCTATCTGGCTTTATTTACTCTACTGTTTAGTAGTGGAGCATTGGTTGACTGTACTCGTAGTAGCAATAGGTCATGAAAAGCCAGTGATACCTCAAATATATGGCATATATTATGAAATAAAAAACAACTACCACAAAACATTGCCCCATCCCAAGTTCAAAGGATGAGATCAAACAACTTTAATAGAAAAGTTTATGTGTAAAAAATACATAATTAGAAGTAACAGCTATGGTTCTCTTTGGTTTCTTCACCTGCCCATACCTGATTTGAGGTTTCCATGTTAGTATTACGATTGGATCGCCTCCGAGTGACTATCACAGAAGGCTTGCGTTCACAAGGAGTTCGATCATTTGTTTGGCCTCTCTGGAATTTCCCATCCTCAGACTTCTCTTTTTCAAGGTTTTGCAAGTCAATTTTTCTCACTGGCACAGATACAGGAATGATAAGAGGCACAAGGCTGCTATCCTCCCGGGCTTTTTTGGGAGCTGGTGAAGAACTGGCAAATTCCACAACACTTTTAGCAGCTGTAGGTCCTGGAGCTGCTATCAGCACGCTTTTCTTCTCTTCCGAAGTATCCGATTCCTGAGAAGATAGATAGGTAACTTAAAAGTTCTGTAGCGCTTGCATAATGAATCAGATGCTCTCTCACTTGCACAGTATATCAACTTTCTCAGTGCTATTTGCAAGCTGAAATGGATTTGAAAAGCGTTATTGGAGGAAAAAGAATACTTGACAAAATCATGATCAACATTTGTTAGAATTAGTTGAGGATTCCTTCAAGTCTCAAATGCTTTACCCTATAACTTCCTCAAAGGTTCTTCAGTTTTAGTAATTACTATAAGCTGCAAATTATTAATTTCGAATGTTAGACTTCTATACCAGAAAAGACTCAAACTTGGTAACTTTAAATCTCTCATAAAGAACAAAAGAAAATAAGCTAGGTTTCTACTGTACTTTTCCAATTTACTCAACAGCAGCTTTCCTTATTTGTAAGTGCAGCCTAAGATTTGCCTTCCAAACCTCCCGAAGAAGTTTTGTTCAGTCGAATCAACAAAGCGTAAGTAAAAGCCAGCATGTTTTGCATCGGTTTTATAGCTTCCATATCTCTGCTTTCTTTTACTCATGGAAATTCTAAAAAACTGAGCTTCAAGGACATAAGAATGGATGATGAATTACTGAACAGACATACAGGTACTGGAGCACCAAATAACTTAAGATACTTTTAGAAAAGTGATTTCTACTCCTTCAAATGACTATCTGTGTGTTCATTCCATTCTAGGACCACTCCTTCAAAGTAATTGCCAGTTCACTTGGAAGCCAGATGTCAAAGGACAACTTTCAATGATACCTCCCTTCAGGGATGCAAAAGTCCTTCTCAAACTCCAGACAAGCATAATCTGGAAGTTGTAGAAAATGCTTCTTTAGACACTTCAGAACTTCACTCAAACTTCATGCTGTGTTTGGAAAGTGATTAGAATGCAAATTCATTCTCTGTCAGAGTCATAATCTAATGAGGAATTCATCTGAACAGCTTTGTGAAGTGGAAACTAAGGCACATTATCTCTCAGGTACAATGAGAGATCATATGCCACTAAGAATACCTAATCCTAATAAAAATCTTAGCTAAGAAGATTCTGCTGTAAGGTTTCAAAACTCCCCTGTCATTTCAGTATTGTTACAGATCAAGAGAGCTGGCTTCACTGGAGAGTGAATGAACTAGCTTTAGCTGGTGCACAAATAATCAATCTAATAGCTAAAAGGACTAGAATGAAGTCCCACTTCAATACTAGATTTATATTCAGAGAAGTGCAACCTCACTGTCACAAGATGCCAGATCAGTCAGAGCTTGAAGCTGGAGCTCTGAACTCTCCAAGACGCCTAAATCTAGGTGCTAAGCCTGAGTAAGTAAAATTAATCAGAACAAAAAGATTTAGGACTTCCTACCTATAAGATATTTTATTAGAGTAGCACAGTATGCTTTATCCCATAAACGGCCCTGCAGTTTCAAAATCTGGCTGCTTCTTCACAGACTGGAGGTATCATCCCCCATTGCGTGACAATGAAACATAGAACTGATGAGTCACATTTGGCATCAACTGGCACAGACTGTGCTGTAGAAGGAATCCATGAGCTTTGAGAATCTCCCTTCATTCCACAATGGTGACTGGCACCCATACTGTCCCAAGAGGTTACCAATCTTGAATTTGAAGGACATTCATCATGCTGACAGATATGACACTCAAGACCTCTACTTATAGATATTAAGAGGCTCTTGCAAATGTTTGTAGTCTCTCACCTTCAGGAAAGAGAAACCAACGGAAACATCTTTTTAAAGAGATAAAAAAGTCACCTACTGGAAAAAGATGCCCAAAGAAGCAACTCACGGGTTCATACTGCTATATATGGGTCTCCATTCATCAAGGAGATCCATGCTGATTATCACCTTATTATTGAGGACTAGTTAACTAACTGGGTATACCTCCAAAATATTCTTTCAGCAGTGAAATCAATAGTAGATATCTGTGCATCAGCATTAAGAGTGGTCTCTGGCTACTTGCACTGTTTAACACTATAGTGTGATGGAAAACACAGGTTTTTTGACACTGCTGCAGACAAAGATCTCATTCTTACCAGATGACTGTGTTTTTTTTTCTCCTTGCATAGCTATCACTATTACAAACACTCTGGTAAGTACTTCATAGGTACCTGACAGACTAATGACTGAAACAAAGAAGTAATGGTGATACTGATATGTGAATAAGCACCAATTCTGACCAGTCTACAAACCTCAGATACTTCCTGTGTGATATACACGGATCTCCATAGGTCAAGAGACACAAACTTATTTTCTGACTCCAAGGAGGAAACGATGGCAGCTAATTACACACAAGCTGTCACATTGCTTTGGCTCTATGATGGGTCAACTGTGCTCCCTTTATTTTCATGTCTGGGAGATAACCAGCAAAACACTCTCTTCTCTGAAGATGGGAGAGATGACTACTTCTAAGGAAAAGGGATGGGAGGAGACTTGAACAGTAGAAGAGATAAAGAAAAGGCACCACTGAGAAATAAATATAAATAGCTCAGACAGCCTCCAACAAGATGCTTTGCACCACAGCAGTGAGATTTCTTACATACTTACGGTTTATTAGGAGAGGATACAATTGATTTTGGAGTCAAGCTATTTGTTTGAATAAAACTAAATAATTTTGTAAACAGTTTGATTATGTTTAGAGGTAGGCAAAAAGGAATCATCAGACAAGGGACAGGACCATCATTTGTCAAATTGCTAGTGGTTTTCAGCCAGTTCAGTATCCCTATTACAGAAAAGTAATAGGACTTTTGGACAATTCCAACAAGTGCAACTTGTTGCATTTTCATTTAGACTCTTGCATAAATACTGACAGATGCACTACTGGCCTAGAGTCTTTCAGCAGATCCACAGAAACCCATTAGTCATTTTGGTATTGACCTTGCATACTCCTCAAGTCATCTCTAGAAGATGTCAAATACAGCATATATATTCAAAATGAAACACTAATACTAAGAGTTGAGCTTTCACTGCAATCTGTAAGCAGCAAGAAAACACCTTAAAAAGGCAGACAGAGTAGATGGGCAGATCTGGTGCAAACCATCATTTATGACACCGCACGTATATTTCAATACTGCTGTCTAAAATAATGTTTTCACATATACTTATGCCTACTGCACTGGAATGTTCAAACAACTAATTGAAATTATGAATATATTTTCTTTTATCAATAATTTAATCCTATAGCCTAATCATATGCTCTTTGCATAATCTGTACTACAGAAGGCTTTTTGGTTGTTTCTATCAGAAAGACAGTGGTAAGAGGAGACAACTCTCTTGAAAATGTTTTCTTTTTCCTCTCATGTGATATCCAATCTCCTTAGAGACAAAGTTTATCAGACACGGGGTAAGAATTTTAACCTTCTTCCAAACCTCATCCTGGAAGCCTGAAGAGATCCAAACACAAAAAGCTCTTCAGCTAGTGCCTCCATGGAAGCAAACAAGCTGCTTGTTTGCTACAAAGAGCGAATGGGCATTTGTCAAAATGTTTCTCTGGTCTTTGCATTATAAATCAAAACACAAGCAGACAAGCCTTCAAGTGAGTAACTTCTTGTTTCACTTGTCAGGCCATTTTCCCAGCTGCTTAGTGAATTTACTCTTGCCACTGTGTTGATCAGACTGCAGTTTGTATCACACCTGCTGGTAAACAGCTAGTTCAACCCATGTGAGAGAAAAAGGATTCATGACAGTGACAGTCACTAGTTGCTGTACAAGAGACGGACTAGGTTATGGATACTCATCTCACTGTTTCTTACCCCAGTTCTTTTATTTAAGAAGCATATCCCTCTAAGGAAAAGACTGGAAAAAAACAGCCATAGGCAGACTAGGAAAAAAAAATACCAACAGAAGGGGAAAAAAATTTCCTTCCCTTTGTTATCTGATTGGTCAGCAACTTGAGAGGCAAACCTGTAGGTAAAAGTAGTTCATGCTCTAACAGTTGTACTTCATCACTCCCTAGCAACAAAGCTTCCAAAGAAAAAAGTGTATCTTAATTTCTCATAAGAGGTACTCATTGAAAGATTAGTCTAACCACACCCAAAAGAAAACTGCAAAGCACACCTCATAAACAAACAACAAAAATGCCACCATTTGTCTCTCCTGCTAATTTTGAGCCTTGCCATCTTGCCAAACTGTATACATACTGGACAGTTAGACTGAAGGGACACTAAAAGGATAGTAGTAGAGAATTACCTTGTCACTCAATACAATGTCTTCCCTGTTCAAGTCCTACAGAAAGTCTACATGCAGACTTTGTCCTCAGATTATCAATCTGAGCAGCTGCTGCTGGACATTCTCAGAAAAAAAAAAAAAAAAGATTTTATAACCAGCACAACTTCTTTAAGTAAATTAGGCTTCTTTAGACTTGTAATATATGGGAAATATTGAACAAGCAAGTAGCATTATGTAATTTTAGCACAATTTAGAAACACCTCAACCTCTACAACTGAAAAATAGCAGGTAAGCAGTAGTCTTAACATAAGAGGAGGAGAATGGTCAAAAGATGTGTGAATTGTTTATGTTTGTCACCCTAAATTCCTGATCAGCTTGAAGCCTAAGCAGAAAACATTTGTTTATTGAAGTACTGAACTAAAATCTCATCAGTATTAGTGAAGTAAAACTGCCCTTATGACTACAGAGCTGCCCCTACTGCACTACAGTGCTTCTTGCATCAAGAGACAAGCCAACCCTGCTCAGTACATAAGTTCCTTTGCATTTCAGCCCTATTTTGTTGTCTGAAACAGTCCTCATACTACACTGGCTAGGATGTATGCCTTACCTTGACATTCTGAAGAGAAGCCAGCTCAACAGCTTTTTGGGCCAAAGTTAGCAAATTGGCTTCTTGAGAAACACGCCGTCTCCTTCGTGTACTCTGGATTACACCACCTCTAACACCCTGAAAGTCATTAGTTCTTGAAGTGTTTTCTTCTGCTGCTAATGTCTGTTTCTCTGCATCTCTGCCATTCTGAGCGATGGTGTGCCTGCCTGTTTCCACCTGGCATGGTTCACTGTTGGCCAGGACATCCTTCTGCCCCTGATCCATTCTCTTGGGATGTGAATAGCTACTTTTGTTATGGGTCAGTGATTCAAGTGGCTGCTGTAATGGGACCTCTTGCTGATGCGCTTGCCAGTGATGGAGAAATAAATTGCCAGATTGTTCTTCTGCCTGCTTGGAAGCCAACACTTCTCCAGTAGATGTCATCAGGACGCCTTCTTTGGAGAGTCTCCGTGATCTTCTTGGAAAAGGAATCTGGGTCTGAGGTAGAACAGTCTGTTGGTTCTGCTCTGTTAGAGCCTTGAATAGTTCCTGGTTTCTCTCTGTTTGCTGAAACTGGTGTGCCATCATGTGATGCTGAGGTGCTGCAGCTGCAACATGAGGCTGTGCTATGGAAGTAGTTTGCTGTAGACCAAAAGCTTGTGTGGCAGCCTGTTGCTGCTGCTGAGGATAGAAATTTTCAAACAGTTGTAGCTGGGGAAGAGCTTGCTGTTTTTGTTGAGCAGTAAATGCTGGAGTGGAAGAAGCTGGGGCTTCTTGAAAGACATGCAATAATTCAGGAAGTCCTTGCTTCTGGCCTTGGTGACCAAATGCAAGCTGAAAAGGCTGTAATGGAAGACTTTGATTCTGCTGCTGCTGTTTCTGCATCTGATGAAAGGAATTCATTTGTGCTTGCTGTCTAACCAGAGCCTGCTGCTCCAGCTGAGCCTTCTGGGACATCATTTGTTGGACTGCATCTTCATACAAATCCATCTGAGACACAAATACTCCTTTCTCTTGATTTCTTTTAAGAGCTTCTGGGTGACCATAGAAGCCTGGGGCACCTGCATTGGCGTGGGGTCCTTTTGGATTGCTTCCAAAAACCATACTGTGGTTCCACATTGCAGATGGAGATTGCCAGTGGGCATCACCTCTCTCTGGCAACCTGTTTCCCATTAGAGAATTCTGCCATTTGACAGCTGTTACTGGCTGGGACATCATCACTGATTCTCCCCTGTCTTGACTGTAAACCGAGTTCATCAAAGCAACATTGCTGGGGGCACTTGTTAATCCTGCCGTGTGAGGAATTTCCATAGTTTGGGAGGCTGGAATATTTCCTCCATGACCATAATACTGTCCTTCTTTAAGCTGCTGCTGTGGCTCTTTGGATGACACAGTTACATCTTGCTCATTAAAATAAGTCATTCGTTTCCCAGTCCTTTTGGTTGAAGACTTTTGCTGAGCCTGAAGATTCATGATTCAGTCTATTCTTCCAACTGCACACACCGTATTTATAATACACCCATCCCTGAGACTGGGGGAGAAAAGGCACATAAATCTCTCTTTTCCATTCAGTATTAGTAATAAAGGGCAGGAAAGAAGTCCCGATGAAAGTGCCTCCACTTCCTTTTTCTTTGTGTGCTTCTCACACTTCTTTTCACTGTTATTCTTCGTTGTTCACAGATCAGTAGGGTCCATTTAATTGTAGGTCCTGAAATAGAGAAGCAATTACAATGAATCATCAACAGACAACTAGAATATAAACACTCATACAGTAAGCAGTTATGTACATATCTGTCCTATTTCTGATGGAAACAAAGATCAGGACAGTGTGTGTAAGAAATAATAGATATGACTTGCTAAGAGAATGTAAAACAACTTAATTTTACAAAATAGATATCATATATTTGCATGATGCAATACCTAATTGCACACAGACTCTGACTAATCAAGCTCTAAATGCTTTTCTCTTAAACTCTCATCTGGACAATTAGCCAGGATAATCTGAACTCAAAAACACAAAGCAAAACAAAACAAAAACCTCATGACTCACCAAAGAGAAAAATAATGTGTCAGGCCACATTTCTCAAAGACATTCAAACACACACGCACACTAAGGCTGCAGCCAAACACACAGCAAGATGCTCCAGTGAATATTTTGAAGAAAAGAATCAGGCAGCAGCCCATCATCCCCAACATTATAGTTGCTTTCTGTCATGGTTTTGGCTGGGATAAAGTTAATTGTTTGTATGATGCTGTGTTTTGGTTTTTGGTGAAAACAGTGGTGATAGCACACTGATGTTTTAGTTGTTGCAGAGTAGTGCTTACACAGAAAGCCAAGGACTTCCCTACTTCTCATGCTGATCTACCACAGAGAGCTGGAGGAAACGGGAAGCTGGGATGGGGCACAGCCTCAAACTGAACTAGAGGGATTTTTCATACAACATGGCACTGTGCTCAACAATAACTACTGGGGAAAAGAAGGAGGAAGGGGGAAACATTCACAGTGATGTTTTCTTCCCAATAAAGTAACACGTGTGATGAGCCCTTGTTTCCTGGGAGTGGCTGAACATTTGTCTGCAGATGGGAAGTATTGAATGGATTCCTTGCTTTGTTTTGCTTCTGCACTTGGTTTTTACTTTACCTAGCAGACTGTCTATCTCAGCCCAGAAATTCTTCCACTTTCACCTTTCTGATTCTTTCCCATCCCACCTGGGGAGAGTGAGTAAATAGCTGTGTGGTGCTGAGCTGCCTGTCTGACAAGACAAACCACAACACTTTCCAACATAGAACTGCCTATCAGGCATCTACATGCTGCAGAAAAGGGCCTGCTCAACCTTTCAGATTGTCTTTTCAACAGCTAAAAACAACTGCTCTTGCTCAGGTCACACTCAGGGCAAAGCAGTTCACAGATCATTACAGGGGCAGATCATTACAATTGGTCCTCAACACCAGCAAACATTTTGATGTAAAGCTAAAACTTAACAGAGAAAAGTCTTTTTTGATGTAAAGCTAAAACTTAACAGAGAAAAGTCTTTCTGGATCATGGAGCCTAGGACAATTCCAGTCGTCTTTTTCCTGAGGAAAAAAAAAAAAAAAAAGGTAGCCACAAATTTAGGCCTTAAAAGCCTAAGGATTTATGCCTAAAATATGTATATAGTACATATACAAGTATTTCTATTAGGACACCTATAGCCTTTTAAGATAATTAGTTTTACATTTAGTGAAATTGTTAAACCAATAACAAACAAATAATGATAGGCAAGTCTCTATTACTATCTCATTTTGATTTACGCTTCAAGTCAGATTGTGCCAATATAATTCTGGTAGACTGTAAGATATTTTAAGATGGATTTCAGATATTAAGATATTTATTGCATTCTTTTTGCCATAAAATCAAGTTTCCTTTGATGAATGGACTTAATTCTCAGGCATCAGGCATGAGCAACAATTATAGCTCTGTACTTCTTCAGGGATTCTGCAAAACATTTGGGACTTTCCCACTTGAGCTGAGATGGTCATCAAGAATTATGGGGAAAACCTTCAGTAAAGCACCATTCGTAGGTATCAGCTAAATGGCCTTAAATCTCAGAGACCTGAAAGCATCAAAGAGAAACATTTTTCTTGACTGATGAAAACAGGTTTGCAAATTCACTAATACTTATTACTGAAATAGTATGCTTCATTGCAGTGTCACAGTATTTTAGAACGAAATATGCAATTTGGGGATCGACTTTAGGAGAAATTTCTTCTTTCTTTATATGATAAGGCAGTTTTCCTATTTGTACTGTATGTACTCGAAGGAATTTTCAAGAAAGAACAAAGCCACTTCTCATAAAAACTGCTCTTGAATTTCACAAATGCGCACAAAGCTGGTAAGATTAATACACACATTCCACCAAAACCTGAAATAAATCCTATAGCCTTTCTCTATAAAACGAAAAATAATAAACCAGAAGTATACAGCACATTAAAGTTTGGTGACTTGAGTTTCCTCTAACCGGATATGGCTACAGTGCAGGTTTTAGTACTGTGGCAGAGTTGGTAGTGTGACGAGGAGGAAAAGACAAAGGGTTTAAATTAACTTATGCAACTTCCACCTTGGAGGCCAGGCTTGGCTCCAGTTCTAGTGGAACCATAGGCCTGTGTTTCACAGAGAAGTGACTCACTTCCTCAGTCAGTTACATAGCTGTTCCCTCCACTCCCTCCCCCTTCGCCCTGGCTACAAACCATGGACCTCTGCCACCGCATATCACACAGCCAGGGCGTTCCTTCCTTTTCTGAGCGCAACTTCTCAGCTCATTTTCCAGTCCTCTTTCAACAAGACTAAAATAACTCTAGGAGAAATTATGGACGTGTGAGAAGGGAAAAAAAAAAACAACTTTAAATTGTAACTAAATCCCACTTCAGAATGTCAGTATGAGAAGAAAAAAATATTCCACAATAGGAAACTGGTTGCATGATAGCAAAAATGTAGAGGTGAAAATATTGGTATATGCCTCCCAGGAGTGTTAATGTTATTCTCTCTGCTTTTTGGAGCACTGCTAGAAATTTATCAGAGCTAACAATTTAATCCCAGTACCTGATTAATATCTGTAACACTAGTTGATATTATCTTACTTTCTGAGATTATTACAAAGTATTTTCCCTTCAAACCAATCTTGTACCAGTTTTCCATCCACTGATGTTTGTGTGCTTTTGATCAATCACATAATTATGATAGAAACATCTTTTTTTTTGTGTATACCAGAACAATACCAGTAGCTCAAATTTAAATCTGTAATACAACATTTAGAAGATCTGCTGAAACACATTTTCTACTCTTTGAGGAAGAATACAAAGATAACTACCCAAAAGCTGGCATACAACTTCAACACTTATTTTTAACTCTTAAAAAAGAAACAAAACAAAGCAACCAGCCAACCGAACTATACACCACACATGCTCATCTTAATAGAGATGGCTGAAGTTTGCAACCATCACCTTCAAAACTATCCAGAAGACCTTTAGTAACAGAGTTCTCCATTATTAGAAGATGTTGCATTTATGGGGCTCCATTTGCTGTGGATACTCCACTACTATATCGGAAACCATGGGTATTATAGAGCTTAGCTCAGGCTGGTTTAGAATTACTCTTACTTAGGAAAGAGATGTAGAAAAAGTATCAGGATACACAGTTCTCAAAAAAAAAAAAAAAAAAAAAGTACAGAAATAACTTAAAGTAGAGGAGGGAATTTGCATCTCTGTGTTGCACAAGAGGTTTCTAAAAATACGGTGTGCCTCTTACAAAAGTTACCTTGTCACACTAGAAGATTGTAATGACTGAAGAACTGTAGTTACAGCAATACAAAAACCAAGATAATGAAAATTACACTCCTAGAGAGGAGAAGTGTTGCAGGCACTTTAGCCAAAAGACAGTGAAAATTCCAACTCTCCCAACTGTGTGCAAAAATGAAGAAATTGTAACTGACAGGTCTCCAAGAGGGAGGGACTTAGTGCATTTAGTGTTTGATGATAAAATATTACAACATTAACTTTTATGATTTCTTGTAGGTCATCTTAATAATAATAGTCCATAGTTTAAGCTGAAGAGATGTTCAAGCTGCAGCATGACTATTCTGCAGGAAAGCTCACACTTGGCAGCTTCATTGGCTGAGCACAGCTAGCTCTATGACTAAGCAGGCTTCCCTCCCTGAGTTCAAGGGATGAGCTCACATTATCATCATCCCAACCAATTACCTGCTCTGAGGTTTCATTTTACTCTAATTTCAGCACGAGTCATACTGAAGTAGCAAAGTGACAACACACTTCCAGGCTTAAGTGTGCTTTGGAGCAGTGAATCTCTGATGAGTTCTTACCTTCAAACAAAGCACAGTGCCAGTTCTGATACCATAATTCCCAGAAGATAATGTGTCTTTTCTCCAGATATACTGAGGTGTTATGATACTCTGCATTGCTTTTACACTGCACAGAGAAAAAAGCAAAACCTAACATCAGTACTCTTAGTTTTAATAACTCTAAAATTTAGAACACACTGTCGTCAGTCACTTTCACTTCCAGGAACTCCTAGCACGTAAGAACAACTTCCAACTTCTTTTCAGAAAAATGCCAACTGGAGGATGTCACCTCCTTTAGTACTGTAGATATTTTTAGATTTCTAAGGTTGGTTGGTTGGTTGGTTGGTGTGTGTGTGTGTGTGTGTGTGTGTGTGTTGGTAAGCTTTTTTTTTTTCTAGATTAACAAGAATTAGATAAACATATTCAATGGATGCTGATGAAGTATTTCATGGAATAAAAGAACATACAATAAGTTACCTGTGGCACATTACTGAGAGATGTTAGAGTTAGCAATTTTAGCTAAAATTTCTCTGCACTAGAGCCCTATTAAAGAAAACATAAAGCATATAAAAATCTGTCTCCAGTTTAGGAAAGTCACCTGGAAGATTTAAATATATAACAGGATTGAAGAGGTTCCTGCCAACATGCAAGATGCTGCTCTAAATTAAATAATTTCAAGACACGCAGATCTGAGGTGTGCAGGAGCCAGGCATTCAGAGCCACACTAGGCAAGCAACGGCCCTGAGGTTCCATTAATAGATTTCACTTAACAGAAAGTGGCTTCTGAAGGATTGTTTAGAAGGATCACTGCAACCATGCAATCACTATTTATCCTTAGCCCGCAGAGCTCTTTAGAAAAACTTTTTAATTTCACGTATTTTTCTTAAATTAACATTAAGAGGTTATTTGATTTGATGGACATGCTGAAAATGTCCCATTGTCATCACTTCTTATAACAAGCCTTCCTTTACATTTCCATTTATCACTTTTTGTCTGTTTATGCAATGAACTCCCACCATTACTTCCTCTCTTTCTTTACAAGCTGTCTTCCATTAAGTACAAACGTGCTTCACGATTTCACATACCAAGTTTGTGACCTCACACACTGAAGTAACATTAAACACTACTCTTCAATCCATCTGTTGAGGGCTGTGCAGTCCTGTGCTTTGCTCAGTTATCTGCCACACCCCCTACATTTGGCATGATAAGCAAGCTCATATCGTGCAGATTCCTAATGTCTTTTGGCATTGTTTGCAGGCAATATTTTCTGACAGAGAATGGTAGAAATGACTCTGGAAAGACTGATTTCACCTCAAACCTTGAAAAAGTTAGGGAAGCAGAAAATTATAATGCATTGTAGTAAGCATGTTCTGTTTCACCACTACAATTCTAGCTTTTAAGTATTTCAATTACATATTTTTTTTAATGTGATAAACAAAAAATGTTCACAAGTGTTAGCTAATGTACATTTTCAGCCTTACTCAAACAGTGCTGTCAGATCCTTGCAGGGAATCTGTTGAATTAGAGCAATGAGATCATTTCCCCTAAACAAAACCCTCCTGCTGCCAGCAACTCAAATCACTTACTGATCTCCCCTTAGAAAGCTCAATTACTTAATGTTAATTAACAGATTCCAAGAATAACTGTTGCATTTAAGTCGAATGTAGCAAGCTAGCCAGTGTCCTGAGAGAGCAGCCCCCCTTGAACTTGCTCATCATATAATCAAATCCAGTATTTATTAAACAGGTACAAATCATGACACACATTTTACCATTGAGGAACAAAGGGGAAGGAACTTACTTCTAAGATCATGCAACAAATCAGGACAAAAAACGATCACGAACAAAATATAGAATACTAGTTATCAGTTCCCCTCCGTACCAAGAAGGGTAAGAAAGGTAAGAATAGGATGAGCTACTTACATTCACCCAGTAAAGGCAAAGAAAGTTGAATTCCTCCAGTGCAATATCAGGCCAGAGATAATTCAGTGAGTAGGTTTTGTTTGTTTGTTTTTTTGGTTTGTTTGATTGGTTCATTTTTAATGTTTTTAAATGACTGGAGATTTATGGCATATCACAAAAAAGAAGTTTTTCCAGCGAACACAAATTGGCCTCTATCAAACTGCCACAAATTGCAACAGTCTTGGGTAAGAACCAAGAAAGTGATGAAAATATGGGACAGTTTTTGTGTTTGGTAGAGGATTTGCAAAGCTTTTGCACAGCTTGTCCATGTCCTATGCATATGAAAACAGTTTCGATCTCTCTCTCAGAAGCCTCTCCCACACATGTACTTTGTCACATTTTCTTTCAGACAGCAGCATCAGAATTCCTACAGATTGTTTGCAGCCTCCCACTCACCACCTTCAGACACCTTCAGCTGGAAGGGTAACAGCACAGCTTTCCTACAGATTGCCCTAGGAGGGAGCAAGGGAAAGTAGAAAATAGACCTTGCTTGTAAACTCAGTACAGCAAAGCATAACAATCTACCTGATAGATACAGGGAGGAGAAGGCTGAAAGCAATGGAGTAATAAGAAAGCTAGTTCAAGAAAGCCAAAAAGGTAAATGGAGAAAGATGGTTTAATGTCCCCTTCAATGTGCTTTATACAGTAGGGCATTTTCCACAGATGACTAGAAAGCCAGTCTCTATAGTGAAAGGCATGTTTTCCAGGAATCTAGCACCACAGAAGAGCAGCAACTGAAGCTCAAAGTGAACAAGCAAAACCAACCAATTGAACAGTCTCCAGTTTAAAAGATGACATCAATAAGCCAAGTATCAATTACTCCATCCTTCTAGACTAATCTAGAGAACTGTAATAGATGGAAGTCCTAAAAATCAATAATACCCTGGGAAATGGGAAGGCTTACTTGTTCAAACAGCACAGTATAGGAAAAAAATGAACGCTTCACAGCTTGCCCTGTATCAAAGGAAAATGGCTTCACAGACAGACAATAACAACAAGGAAAAAAATAATCCAAGGAGCTTGACAACTTTCACCGTTGCTTAAAGGTGTCTGCCTGGGACTAGCACAAACACGCCCAAATGAATAGGCATGCTGAAGCCTTCTATGGACAATGCAAGTTTTCATGTAATTGGTCCATTTCTATTGCAAAGGTGGAAGCTGTGACTGACTTCCTCTGGCACAGCACAGTTAAGATGACTTTGCTAGTATTTCCACTTTCCCATTATCAGAGGCTGGGAACTGATAAATATGCATGAAATCAGTCAGCAGGAATTCAGAAGTGAAATCCATTAGCTTTGTGACGTGAAGCAGAGCAGAGAATGGCTGTGCTGAAGGAAGATCAGGTAGCCGGTGTTACACCACCTTATGTGACGAACTGCTGATGCTACTTACACCATCCCAGACACACAGCATCATAAGCTAATTACCTACAGCAAGCAAAACAATGCAAAATGTATAATTGCCACATTATTTGGAAAAGTACATTTAAGAAGAAGGTACTAACTATACCAAACCAAGGAAATACAAATCCTACTGAAGTAAAATATTCTAGTCTACTGCACTAAAACATGGCAGAGATTTGGAGAGGCAGTGAAAACAAGTTCTCAGGAACGTTATTTAATTGAGCAGCCTTTCCTTTATGTTTGAATGGTTCTAAAATTCACATTCTGATTATACTTTGGCCTACCACTTATACATAAGGACATAATTTTCCACTCTCCATCTAAGCATATTGATGTGTTCGACTACAGTATGCTACAGAGAAGAATGTAATTGATTTTAATTATGAGGTTTCAAAGCACCATGGATGTGTCTCAAAAGGAAATTTTCAGATAACAGTTATATTAGGAGGGAGTTCTGCATCTTTAAGGAACCTGACAAAAATAACCCATGGTTTGGGTTGCCCTCCTCAGTGCAAGCTATAAGCTCAGCACAAGTCTTGGAGGATTGTTTTTCAATCTCTGTGATTTTCCACTTAGTTTTGCTTAAGAAGATGAAAAAGATACAAAAATCATTACAAAGAAAATATCTACTAAAAGCTGGTTATTATTTTGTCCTTACTGGCATACGCAAACAGCTCCACCAGAACAAAATCACACGGATGAGGAAAGACGGCTACTAAAGAAACAGAGCAGAGTTCTAAAACTTAATAGACGTAAAACTTAAACTATGAAGGGGAAAAAAAAATCTGATCTATTTTTAAAGGAATTGACAACGTTGTTTCTAGCAGCTCTTGAAAAGGAATTACACTGAATACAAATTAGTTTCTCAGTTTAATTTATCCAAGCAGAAGTTTGACTGGTATTTCCAAAATAACTGAAATTTTGCCCAATGCTCACCTTGAGAAAACTAACTGCTATGATTTGCAGCAGACTCTTAGCTATCATCTTGCATTGTAATGACATGCAGTTCTCGGAGAGAACTATCAGAAAGAGACAGCTATATAAACCAGACTTCTGTAAACAAAAATGCAGGAAAGCCCTTCTTTACAAATGGCTTTAAAACACAGTGCAGAATTACACTTTAACAAAATATATATAGAGCACATTCTAAAATTAGTTAATGTTTATAAACATTATTCCAAACATGAAGTTTGGAATATTAATTATAATCCATCATCATGACAAATACAATGATCTAAAATACTTCAAGCAGCCTTGGAAAGCAGAGAGAGCAATTAAGGAATATGAACCACTGCTTCCAGTCTTTGTAAAGTTACACGAATGTCCTATGCTTTCCCACTGGAAACGGGTTAATTGTTCTTCTAATTGTAAGCTCCTAGATAGCTATTTTAAGCTTTTTTTGTTTGGAACTGTCAGGGAAGGCAGTTGCTAGCAACAGAGAGAGCAATACTCACTCCAACGTACAGGAATTACAGAAGGCTCCAAAGTCAGAATGGCAAGAGCCAAAAACCGCTTGCTCTCACACAGCTGACATAGCCACAGTGCATCCTTCACTCTACATGCCTCTCGCCACAAACATACCAGCTGCAGAACTGGATGGATACACCTCAGAGACAGACCAAACCTCTCTGCACTTGTGCCCTGAGTAGAAAACGCATGTGACTGCATTAGGCCTGAACAAGATAGACTGGTACAGGTTCAGTTATTTCCATCTTGATCTCTCCAGCACTCCAACACAAAGCCAGACAGACATCTACGTGGCC